CTGCCAGAGAGAGACAGAAAGTTACCTATAAGGGAACTGTCATCAGACTGTCGACTCATTTCTGAACAGAAACACATCAGGCCAGAAGGAATGGAATGAAATATACAAAGTCATGCAAAGCAAGGGTCTGAATCCAAGAAGACTCTACCCAGCAAGGCTATCAATTAAAGCTGAGGGTGAAATCAGGAGCTTCACACACAAAAAAGCATTAAGGGAGTTTATTACCACCAAAGCAGCAATGCAAGAAATGTTAAAGGGGATGCTGTAAAAAGAGGAAATAGGAAGGGAAGTAGGGACACAGGCATAAGGAATAAAAATGGTAATAAACCTACCAATAATAACTTTAAATGTAAATGGATTAAATGCCCCAATCGAAAGACATAGGGTAGCTGAGTGGATAAGAAAACATGACCCATATATCTGCTGTCTACGGGAAACCCACTTCAGAACAAAAGACTCACACAGACTGATGGTAAAGGGATGAGAAAATGGAAATGGCAAAGGGAAATGAAAAACAAAAAACAAACAAACAAAAAAACTGGGATAGCAATACTTACACCTGATGAATTAGATCTGAAAGTGAAAGCCGTAGCAAGTGAAAATGAAGGCCACTTAATAATACTAAAAGGAGCAATTCAAAAAGAAGATAAAACTGTTAAACATATATGCACCCAATACATGAGCACCAGGTACATTTAAAAAAAAACACCAAAAACTTCTGGAGGATATCAAGGGAAAGATTGACAGCAATACAGTCATAGTAGGGGACTTTAATACCTCATTAACACCACTGGATAAATCTTCTAAACAAAAAAATCAACAAGAAACATCAATCCTAAATTACTCACTAGATCAGATGCAATTAATTGACATCTTCAGAACACTTAACATCAGTGCCACAGAATATACATACTTTTCAAGTGCACCTGGGTCATTTTCAAAGATAGACCACAATGGCATAAAACTAGAAATCAACTACAATAAAAATCAAAACATTGAATACACGGGGGCTAAATAGCATGCTATTGAACAATGATTGGGTTACCAAAGAAATCAAAGAACAAATAAAAAACATCATGGTAACAAATAACAATGAAAACACAACAATCTATGGGACACAGTGAAAGCAGTTTTGAGAGGGAAGTTCATAGTTCTACAAGTCTACCTCAAAAAAAAAAATTGGTAATAAATTATCTAACCCTACAACTCAAAGAGCTAGAAAGAGAGCAACAAGGAAGTAAATAATAAAGGTCATAGCAGAGATAAACAATATAGAAGAAAAAATAAAATCAAAACCAAGAGCTGGTTATTTGAAAGGATTAACAAGATTGCTGAACCTCTAGTCAGGCTCATCAAGAAGAAAAGAAGGCGGGCCCAAAAAAACAAAATCAGAAATGAAAGAGGTGAAGTAATGACCGATCCCACAGAAATACAAATGATTATTTAAAAAAATACTATGAGCAACTCTACTCCAACAAAATGGAACCTAGACAAAATGGACATATTCTTAGAAAAATACAAACTCCCAAAACTCAATGAGGAATAATAAAAATAAGAACAACTGAATAGACCAATAATTTTGGAAGAAATTGAAAAAGTGATCAAAAATCTTCAGACGGCTTTACAGGGGAGTTCTACCAAGCATTCAAAGAAGAACTAAAACCTATCCTCATCAGACTATTCCAAAAAATTAAAGAAGAAAGCACACTTCCAAGCTCTTTCTATGAAGCCAGCATTATCCTAATGCCAAAACCAGATAAACGTACCACAAAAAAAAGAGAACTATGGACCAATATTCTTAGTGAACATAGATGCTAAAATCCTCAACAAAATTCTAGCAAATCAGATTCAGCATTACACTAGAAAGATCATACAACATAATCAAGTTGGATTTGTTCTGGGGATGCAAGGATGGTACAATATCCACAAATCAATAAATGTGATACACCACATAAACAAGAGACAAAAATCATCATCAATCTATGTAGAAAATGTATCTGGCAAAATCCAGCACCCTTTCTTGATAAAAACTCTTAGCAAATTGGGAATAGAGGAATCATACCTCAACATAAAAGTCTTACATGCAAACCTACAGCCAATATTATACCCAATGGGCAAAAACTAAACTCATTTGCCCTAAGAACAGGCACAAAACAGGGATACCCACTTTAACCACTCCTGTTCGATATAGTATTGGAAATGATAACCAAAACTATAGGACAAGAAGAAGAAATAAAAGACATCCAAATTGGAAAAGAAGAAGTAAAACTCTCCTCTTTCACAGATGACATGATACTAGACCTAATAAATTAATTTGGCAATGTAGGAGGATACAAAATTAACACCCAGAAATCTATGGCCTTTTTTATGCATCAATTATGAACTCACAGAAAGGAATCGAAAAAACACATAAAACTATCCCATTCACCATTAAACAAAAAAACAAAACAAAAATTAAAAAAACAACAACACTAAGATACCTAATAATAAGGATATAAAAGACCTCAGAAAACTACAGGACACTGAAAAAAGAGATAGAGGAAGACATAAACAAATGGAATAACACAGTATGTGCATGGATTGGTAGAATCAACATCATTTAAATGTCCATACTACCCAAAGCAATCTACATATTCAATGCAATCCCCATTAAAATACCAATGGTACATTTCAAAGATCTAGAACAAACTCCAAAACTTCATCCAGAATAAAAAATAAAAAAATGACCAAGTATAGCCTCAGCAATTCTGAAAAAAAAACTAAGTCAGAGGGATCACAATACCAGGTATCAAGCTCTATTACCAAGTCACATTTCTAAAAACTGCCTAGTACTGGCACAAGAACAGACATTTAAACCAATGGAACAGAACAGAAAACTCAGAAAGCGACCCAAGCCATTATGCTCAATTTTATTTGACAAAGAGGCAAGAGCATACAATGACATAAAGACAGTCTTTTCAGTATATGGTGCTTGGAAATTTGGTCAGATACATGCAAAAAAATGAAACTAGATCACCAATTTACACCATATACAAAAACTCAAAATGGCTAAAGTACTTAAATGTAAGATGGGAAACCATAAAAATCCTATAAGACTCTTTAGGCAGCAAATAGCAGACATATGCTGTAGCAACATTTATACAGACACAGCTCCTAGGGCAATGGAGACTAAGGAGAAAATATACAAATGGGACTACATCAAAATAAAAGGCTTCTGCACAGCAAAAGAAACCATCAACAAAACAACAAGAAAGCCCACTGCATGGGAGAACCTATTTGCCAATGATATTTCTGATAAGTGCTTAAATCTCCAAAATTTATAGATAACTCATAAAACTTAACAAAAGGAAGATAAACAATCCAATTCAAAAATGGGCAAAAGATCTAAATAAACACTTTTTGAAAGGACATACAAAAGACTGAGAGACATAACATGCTCAAAGTCACTAATCATCTGAGAGATACAAATCAAAACAACAATGAGATACCATCTCACAGTTGTCAGAATAGCTATCATCAACAAATGACAAGTGCTGGCGAGGATGTGGAGTAAAAGGAACCCTTGTGCCCTGCTAGTGGGAACGACTGGTGCAGCCACTATGGAAGACATTATGGAGTTTTCTCAAAAAGTTAAAAAAGGCCGAAACTGATTTGGCTTGGTGGTAGAGCGTTAGTCTGCAGACTGAAAGGTCCCGGGTTCGATTCCGGTCAAGGTCATGTACCTTGGTTGCTGGCACATCCCCAGTAGTGGGTGTGCAAGAGGCAGCTGATCGATGATTCTCTCATCGATGTTTCTAACTCTCTATTCCTCTCTCTTCCTCTCTGTAAAAAAATCAAGAAAATATATTTTTAAAAAAAAAGTTAAAAATGTAACTCCCATTTGACCCAGTAATCCTAATTTTAGGACTAAATTCCAAGAAACCAATAACACCAATCAAAAAGGATGTATGCACCCCATTGTTCATAGAAGCACAATTTACAATAGCTAAGATTTGGGAACAGCTTAAGTGCCCATCAACAGATGTGTGGATTAAAAAACTATGGTACATCTACACAATGGAATACTGTGCTGCTATAAAAAAGAAGGAACTTTTACCATTTGCAACAGCATGGATGGAACTGGAGAGCATTATGCTAAGCGAAATGAGCCAGTCAGAAAAAGATAAATATCACATGATCTCACTTGTATGTGGGATATAATGATCAACATAATTTGACGGACAAGAATTGATCCAGAGACAATTGGTAGGGGAAAGGGGGTTAGAGAGAAACCAAAGGACTTGTATGCATACATATTAGCATAACCAATGAACACAGACATTGGGGCAGTGGGTGCTTGCCTGGACGGGAATGGCTTGGGGAGGGGATTGGAGTTAATTGGAGAAAAAGGATACCTATGTAAAAATTTGGACAATTAAAAAAAAACACCAGTCATGATTAGCTCATTTTATAGATTAGAATACTTGAAGGTTCATTAAATTTTTAATGTTTTCTTCCCAATTTTAAAAGTGATATCTCTAGTTTTCCTTTTATTGATAATCTGCTATCAAAAGATACATATAACATCCCTTGATATTTTCTGTGGAAATTGGGTCATACATATAATCTTTCTGTTTGTCTCCCTGAGAATCACCCCTTACAATTCAATAATTTCTGAAGCCTACAAAATTGATGACCAGCTGTCTTATTTGAAATGGTATTGAGAAAGCATTGTCTATGTCTTCTCTGCAAAGAAGCTATATCAGTAATATTTATTATAAATAAGAATGTCAATAAGTTATCAAACATTTATGAGATTGCTCTTTGCAAGTTCTCCTGTTCTGCTGTGCACTGTTCCATCCCCGAAAGTTTCCTCTTTTGAGAATTAATTTGACTTAAATTGATGAGATATTGATGTAGTATGGTATCTATCTATAGTCATTGCATTGAATATGAAACTGAAAATTTTATAAATATATTCCTAATCAATGCTGTTTCTTTCTAAATAATTTTGTTCAAAGGGAACGTGTTGAGAATACCAGTTACCCAGGAGAAATGCAGGTAACCATTCAAAATCTAATGCCAGCGACTGTGTACATCTTTAGAGTGATGGCTCATAATAAGCATGGCTCCGGAGAGAGTTCAGCTCCTCTTCGAGTAGAAACACAGCCTGAGGGTAAGTTTCCACCTGTCTGTCACCCCCACTTGTAGGTAGACCTATCTGAAGGTCTACCTTATGTGTAGCCTTGAACATCACAGGAGTGTTAAAGATAATAGTCCCTTGCCTTTAAGGATTTTATAAATTAGTTAGGAGAGATAAAATTAATTCACATCAAGCTAATAGTGTAAGACAATGTAATTCTGATACAGTCTCAAATTTTACTGGTTAAGACCTAACTCAATGGCTTTTATGATCTTTCCTCTGATTCTGATATATCTTTATAATTCTAAGATACAGTATTACTTTCTTTCTTGAATTGTGATTATGAATATCATTTTTTGTAAGATTTTTTAAAATTGATTTTTAGAGAGAGAGGAAGGGAAAGGGAAAAAGAAGGAAACATTGATGCCAGAGCGAACCATTAGTTGGCTGCCTCCTGAACAATCCCTACAAGGGATCAAAACTTGCAACCCAGGCTTTTGCCCTAACTGGGAATTGAGCTGGCAACCTTTCAGTACACAGGACAATACCCAAACAAATCAGCCACAATGGCAAGGGCCATATCTCATTTATTTTATGGCAAAGACAGGTTCTTTTTCAACTTTATATTTCCCAGAGTTTAAAGTAGGTATTTAATATTTGTTATCACTTGGATTGTCCTGATCGTTATGTATACTACACTCTTTGCAATCTCTTTAAGGCTTTACTTTGGACCTGTGGTCTTTTGTGCTAGATACTGTTACTTCCAATTACATTTCTCAAGATTTTCTGCAACTAAAATGAGAGTCAGGTTGATTTATTTTATAAATGTCTTGTATGTCTTAAATTTTTATTGTAAACTATAGCCCTGAAACTATAAGAAGCAATGAAACAATAATGGATGCTTTTCCCATGAGGCTTTCTTCCACACATTTTCTTCTTTTAGCACAAGCCAATTTTTCATCATAGCCTTCTCCAGTTTTCTTTAACTATTAACTGCACTAATTTCTCAAATGAGCAAACTTCCAGTAACAAAGATTTTACTTCATCTATGAGTAACTTCGTTTTAAAACATTTGTGGAAGCTACTGACCAGGAAACGAAAAAGATTTAATGAATTTGCCAGTGAATCTCTGGAAATAATTCAAAGACTTCTCCTGATTGGATGGATGGAATAAGCAAAGTCCAAGGGCTATGTGGAATGTCACTTCCTAATGCTGGAGCACATCATTTCCTCATCCAGTGTTTATTGAGCATCCCCATTCCAGGTCCTACACAGGTATTAGAGATTCAGGGAACACAGGATAGGAAGTTTCCTTTTAAAAACAAGCAATGAAGATGGGAGGCCACTGATCACTTCAGTGATAGAGGTTGAAGACCAGGAGTCAAACCCAGGCAAGAACAAGAGGGCCATCAGAGAGTCAGCAGGTTGATTTAAGGAAAGAATGTGTTCTCGTTTCAGGGAAAGGATTTGAGTTTTACAGTTACTGTGCCCAGTTAAGAGCAGGAATAGTCTATTAGATTTCAAGCTCAATTTTCCTTCTTCAAGTACAGGTATAATTTATGAGAGATACTTGGATACAAAACAAGGAACAATTACTGTAAAGTTAGGTATATTAAGGCAGGTTCCTAGGAAAAGATGAGTGTTGTCATTGAAACATTTGATTTAAAGCAAGCATTCTTGGGGGGAAACTGCATGACCTAAATTCCCCTAGTAGAATCAAACTACACATGGAAGGTACATCACGATGAAAATAAAGGAAAAGACCACTGGATTTGACTGAATGCAAGAGTTCCCTAGGGCTATGAACCTTCTAAAAATACATGAAAGTATTTGTATGTCTGTACAAAGTCACATTTTCTTTGGGAAAGAGCCTGTGGCTTTCATTGTTACTTAAGAACTTATGAGTCAAACTGTTGAGATCCACTAGACCAGAGGGTCATTGTTAATTTAGAGATGAAAGAAAAGATGTATGGGACAGTAAATGTTTTAAGTGCCTATCATGTGTCAGTCACTGATGTAAAGATGAGTCAAGATATGAAGTTGAGAAAGACTGGACTTCAATCCACAAGAAGTTTACAGTCTGGCTCCAGACAGTAACGTGATATGCTTGCATCACAGTCATTTATTTAAGGAGTTTGGTTACAAGAAAGTAGTAAAAAAGACTACAGATGGGAGGGGCAACAGATTGTGGTGAGGGTGTTTTAGGGATGAAGAGTGACTATCACATGCTTTCACAAAAGAGAAGGTTTTAGTGGAGAGTAGTTTGTACTTCATCTGGAGGTAATCAGCCTGTGTGGGAGGCATAAGGGCTGTGTGGAGTCAGCCCTTAAGAAATATTTTACATATTTAGCTTCACAAACTTAATTTTTTTCTATTTATTGTGCCACTGGATAGCTGAAATGGAAGCATTTATTAGCACACTTTTTAGGATCATATTTGCCTATATTTAGGTTAGCCAATAAATATACTGAAAATTATTTGATGGGAATTGGGGGACTGTTGTTTTCCTTCTTCTTAAATACGTTAGAGGAAAGTTTTTCGTATCATCAGAAGTGTTACAAATCCCACTTGTAAGGCTGCACAAAATATGCTCTTAACATTATGTGAAAAGCAAGACTCTTTACTAAAAAAGTAAACAACTGTTAGAATAACCATATTCAGGTTTTTTACTTTGGTAGCAGAACTAATCTTAAGCTGTGGTGCTGTTATTTAAGAAAGACAGTTTGTTTTATACTTAGTTAATCACCCCTCCTTCCCCTGCTTCTCTTAAATCTAATGGGTGTCTTACAGAAACACTAACATCATAGAAGTTGTTTTCAAATATAGTGTCCAGCAAAGTTAGGAATAGGCAACCATCCAGGATTTGTGTATAAACGGAGGCTGGAACCTGTCAGTCAAACAAATAGAATATCTTACAAAAGTTTGTGAGCTCTTGTAGGAGTTAGAGCTGGACAGTCAACCAATTGACCAATCATTGAGTCTTCAGTCACATATGTCCTAAGGAAGGGGGGTTGTACTAATCTTTTAACTGGTCTTCTTGAGCCCATGTTTTAGAATCAGAAAGTGCTCAATTCCTGGCTCTAACTAACTTCCCAACCATTCTTAACTTCTCAACCTCCTCTATGAATACAGATGATAATCATATCCATGCCATTTAGTTGGTCCAAAGATTAAATAGATGTAATTTAAATACATGTAAAGCACTCAGTGCTAAACTGACTGCAAGCATCCTATCTAATAAAAGAGTAATATGCAAATTAACACCACTCTGATACACGCACAAACCATGCCCACCAGCCAATCAGTGAGTATGCAAATTAACCCCAACCAAGATGGCTGAAGCCACAGAGAGCAAGGAGAGCGGCTTGGGTTTCCCCGGCAATAGAGGAAGACAAGATTCTGCAGCCCTGGCTGGCCTAGGCCTCCACTCCAGACTACAGAATTTCAATTATAGAAGATAAACAAATCGAAACAGAAATGTCGGCAGCCACAAGCAAGCAGGGGGCTTGGCTCCGCTCCAGGTACAAAGTTTCAATTGTACAAGGTAAATAAATTCCAGATTCCAGGGCCTCCGCTTGGGTTGCCAGGTGTGGCTGGCCTGCAAACCACCACAAGCCCCTTGCCCAGGCCACTCCATGCTCCAAGGGAACCCCCACCCTAATCCTGGTCACCCTTCAGGGCAAACCAGCTGGCCTCCACCCATGCACCAGGCCTCTATCCTATCTATTGTAATTAAAGAGTAATATATAGATTGACCATCATTCCAACACACAATAGCTGCCCCCATGTGGACACAAAATGGCCGCCACAAGATGGCCAGCAGGGGAGGGCAGTTGTGAGGCACCAGGCCTGCAAGGGAGGGCAGTTGGAGGTGATCAACCCTTCAGGGGAGAGCAGTTAGGGGTGACCAGGCCTGTAGGGGAGGGCAGTTAGGGGTAAACAGTCTGGCAGGGGAGCAGTTAGATACCGAGGTTGACACGGGAGTGGTTAGGGGGAGATCAGGCTGGCAGGCAGAAGTGGTTGGGGGCAATCAGGAAGGGAGGCAGGCGAGCAGTTGGGAGCCAGCAGTCCTGGATTGTGAGAGGGATGTCCTACTGCCGGTTTAAACGGGCCAGTCAGACATCCCTCGAGGGGTTCCAGATTGGAAAGGGTGCAGACTGGGCTGAGGAGGATCCCCCCAACTCCCATGCAAGAATTTCATGCACCGGGCCTCTAGTTCAATATAAGGTAGCTTTTTGTTAAATTACTCTTTTATCTTTAGTCTTGTTCCCTTAACCATTTTTCTTCCATGTGTGTGCTTACGTGTCCTTTCTAAACATATATCTGATCCAGTTATGTCATGTTCTGCTCATAATTTTTTAGAAATTATCTAACAGCTATAAGAGATAATCCAAAGTCCATGGCAGGGCATTAAAGGTCTTTCATTATCTGGCTCTTGTCATCCTTTTCTCTCCCATATCTACTCTCTGTTTCATCCTGACCACCTAACACTACCTTCTCACATTGCCCATTTACTGGAATAGTTTTCCCCTTGGTACCTGATAAAACTACTCATTTTTCTTGCTTCCCAGAAGTAGTCACTAATCTTTCCCTTTCTTACCCACACACACTCACAGCAGAATTGCGTGCTCTCTTTCTGTGTTTGTTACATTTGCTACTTAATTGTACTTATGACATTATTTGTAACTATTTATGAATCTGACTTCCCTCTACACTGGGAATTCTTTGGGACAGAGACTCTGCCCCTCCCTGCATCCCCACCACTGGAAAGGGAGGTTCTTGTTTTGTGATGGTGGCTTTATATGTGCTGCTATCCCACTGCCAAACTAGGAGTTTATAATCTAAAAAGAATTCTGTAGTGTTCTTTTTTTTTAATTTTTAATAAATTGGAGATTTTTCACAGATAAAATGTGGTTTTAATTTAAATCATAAAAAGGTAAACTTGTTTAATTATATATTATCCTAAAACCACATCAATAAAATCAATTGTTATCGTAGTTGGTTTTTTTGTGTGTTTTTTTTTTTTAAACATGACCATCTATAATAATAAAAGCATCATATACTAATTAGACTGGATGTCCTTCCTTCCAAAAGAAACCGCAGTGGGTGGGGTCCGAGGCAGAGGCAGCTGCCACAACAGTGGGGGCCAAACCCTTTGCACGAATTTCGTGCATCGGGCCTCAAGTTATGATATGATTGCTGAGAATGGTTATTGAGGGATACAATAAATTTTATTTATATCTTGCTCTCTTGAAATTTTCTTTCCAGTTCAGCTCCCTGGCCCAGCACCTAATATCCGAGCATATGCAACTTCCCCTACTTCCATCACTGTCACCTGGGAAACACCATTGTCTGGCAATGGGGAAATTCAGAATTACAAATTATACTACATGGAAAAAGGGACTGACAAAGAACAGGTATAAGATAAAGCCATTTTTTAAGTTTCAGTTGACAAACATTTTCAGGTGTACAACATAGTGATTAGACATTTATATATCTCACATAAATAAAGATTGTGAGAGGGTGCAGGCCAGGCCGAGGGACCCCACAGTGCACACTTGGGGCCAGGGAGGGATGCAGGAGGGCTCCAGGGCGTTTCCAGCCCATCTTGCCCAGTTCTGATTGGCCGGACCCCAGCAGCAAGCTAACCTACCAGTCGTAGCATCTGCCCCCTGGTGGTCAGTGTGCATCATAATGACTGGTTGAACAGTCGGACACTTAGCATATTAGGCTTTTATTATACAGGATGAAGTGATAACCCTGATAAGATCTAGTTCCCATCTGATACTATACATGGTGATTATATGAAGCCAGTTTTCAATCCACTGATTGCAGTACTAGAGTTGAACTATATTTCCAAAACTTAATGCTTGCTAGTCTAGAAATCTGAAACTTAAAAAAAAAAAAAAAAAAAAAGGATAGAAAATGAAAGTTGACAGTTTCTGTTTCTTTGTGCAAAGATTTATTCTGTAGATTTTACCAGCAAGGATCACTAAAGACCAAGCAGTATTCCTCAGTAAATTGCCAGTGCTTATGGTTAACTTGCTTTGACTGTTAAATAATATTCTGTATAAAGGATAAAAATCAGTATAGGTCATTCTTTTTTTGTAACATGTTTTTTGGTGTGAGTTGTGTATATATAAATTGTTTGCATTTTATTGAAGGATGTTGATGTTTCAAGTCACTCCCATACCATTAATGGGTTGAAAAAATATACAGAGTATAGTTTCCGAGTGGTGGCCTACAATAAACATGGTCCTGGAGTCTCCACACAAGATGTTGCTTTTCAAACATTGTCAGATGGTGAGTCTTTCTTCCTTTGGAACAGAATACTGTGCTTGGAGACCCTGGTAACATAGTAGTAAGATCATAGGCTTTGATGTCAAGAAGATCCTGTATAGCCCTAACCTGTTTGGCTCGGTGGATAGAGCATCGGCCTGCGGACTGAAGGGTCCCAGTTTCGATTCCTGTCAAGGGCATGTATCTTGGTTGTGGGCACATCCCCAGTGGAGGGTGTGCAATAGGCAGCTGATCGATGCTTCTCTCTCATTGATGTTTCTAACTCTCTATCCCTTTCCCATCCTCTTTGTAAAAAATCAATAAAATGGGGACATATGTAATACTTTCAACATAAAGATTTTTTTAAAAAAGAAGATCCTGTTCAAATCCCAATATCCATTTTTCATAGTGACATTGTTTCTTTAACGTAAAATATAAACAATACCAATTTCATTGGATTGCTGTAACGATTTAGTAAGAGACATAGAACATGGTAGTGCCTAGTAACAAATAGCTTCTCAGTGTTTTTATTTTTAGTAGGGGCTTTTGTATAAGTAACTATTATTTCTTACTCATAACACAGACTACTCAAGGGCTGTGAAAAGGCAAGCCTTGGTCTATTTAGCAATCCAAATAGGTCTTTTGATCCCACAGTGTTTTAGGATAATGTCCTTTCTTACCTGTGATTGATCCAAGGAAGTTACATATATTCATATACCCATTATGAAGAGCAGTATTTTTCAAACTACAACTTGCTAAAGAGATTGAGTAGGTCAAGAATCAGTATTTAAAAATATATATATTTTAGAATATATATAGAACAGAAAATAAGTTTATTGTACTTAGTAAATATATATATTGTTTCCTGAAACTCACCTAAATCCAATGTGTTACAAAAATATCTTTTTCTAAAAAATGCATGTATATGCATATACCCCTTAAAACTTGCACGTTTTAAAGGCTATAATTTTACTCCTTTAATCAAATGGTCAAACATAACATCAACAACAATGGAAACAACTGACCTTATCTGTGTCCTGCTAGGAGGCATTGGGAAAGACACAATGTCTGTCTCCCCTATGTTGTATCTCTGTAAAAAATGTTTCACTTGAATCTGATCATGATGAAACAAGTAATCATCCAAAGTGGGGGAAATTCTGGAGAAGAAAAAATTGCCTCAATTCTTAAAAAATACTAATTTCATGAAATTACAGACTCATTCTATTGTAGAATCTAGATTAAAGAAGACACATGAAATAATATAAAATAGTTATCTATTGTTAGTTCCTAGATCTAGGAGTAAAAATAAATAAAGGGCACTATTGATACATTTACTTAATGTTAAATAGGTATACTACTAGGCAATATTAAGTATTAGATATGTTATTTAGGTATATTAGATAATGTTTTATGTTAAGATTAAATTTTCTGAAAGTGTTCATTATATTATAGTTTTGTTGGAGAACGTCTGAATTTAGGAGCACATACCCTAGTATTTAGAAGTGAAGTCTCATGTGACTGCAGCTATCTCTCAGATGACTCAGCAGCAATCTGTAGATAAGTATGTTTGTGTAAATACAGTGAAAACTAGAGAAGATGTGACAGAACATTAACAATTGGTGAATTCAGGAAATGAATATAGAGTGTCCCAAAAAATGTATACACACTTTAACAGCTGGCAGTTTAACTGATGTTTCTTTTTAGATTTAACCCACTGGAATTAATAATATGTCAAAAGTGTGTATATATTTTTTGGGGGGACATCCTATATATGGCATTCATATGTATGGCATATACTTTCCATTGTGTTCAGTATGCTTAATATTTTTCAAGGTAAATTGGTAAAAATAAATACAAACTATAGTTTGGTTAGCCAACCACATAAACCAGTTGGTCAAGATGGGGAAAAGTTGAGAAGGCTTTGAAATCTACACATGAGCCAGTTTTAACTGCACTAAGTGGATTGGCATGCTGACTACAAGCCTGTCAGGGAGCTGAATGTGCCTGAGCATGGTGCTTAAGGGCAGCACTTGGGAGTAAGACCAATTTTGGTCTCTATGTTAGCTGAAATAAATAACTGTGGACAAGAGATTTGAACCTCATCTGTAAAGTGGGAATAATAATGTGGGAATAAACTCCAGTGTGGGATTGTTGTAAGGATTAAGTCCCTGCCATGTAAGAGCACACAGTGAATCTTAGCTGTGATGATGATGATGAAGAAGAAAAGGAAGAGAGGCAGGGGGAGGAGGAGGACACTGCAACAGCAACTACCTTGGGGGCCTCTGCAGCTATGTCAGAAGTTCTTAACGGAAATGATTGGAACCATTCATGGACATCTTTCAAAGTACAGGTGCCTAAGTCCTACACCAGACCCTTTGAGGGTTGAGGCCTAATGCACTTTGTACAGGATACAATATTGAGCAAGAATAGTCACTGTCCTCCAAAGCCTATAGCACATGGGCAATGTGTTATATACCTAGTCACCAAATGTCAGAGAATGGGCGAGAGAAGTTTCCATAGATGGATTAGGAGAGAAGACCTAAAGTCAGCATTTTGTGTGCAGAGAGAAAATCTAATAGGGATTACTTGAATTCTCTTTGCTTGCTTTAGTTACTACAAAGGGGGGGAATGCTGGCGAGTGTGTGGACCATAAACTTTGAAATACTGTCTTATGTTCTAATATGTGAGGAACTAAAGTGGTACAGCAATTTGTTTAAGCAACAAAGTTTTCACATCATTTCCTAAATATCTCTGTTTTACTTAAGAATTGCCTTCAAAACCATCATTTCCTAAATGTCTTTGTATTACTTAAAAACTTTTTTTTTTTTTTTTTTGCTTGTCCAGTTCCCAGTGCTGCTCCTCAGAATCTGTCCTTAGAAGTAAGAAATTCAAAGGTAAAACTTTTTATTGCCATTGTTCATTTTTACTGATACACTATTAAAACTTAGAAGGGCTTATAGAGAGGGAGATCCTACATCAAAATAATAATTATCAGAAAATAAGGTAACCTAGATATTACACTTGCCAGTAAAGCTGGACTTAGAAACCAACCTTAGTTTATTCTGTTTAATTTTATTGCCTTCTCTGATGCCTTTCTGCAAATATATTCCTATATGTAAATTATTACAATCTAAATATTAACAGTCTAGACCTTGGTGATTAGATAGAAGGAAGGAAGTTGTTTATGGCACATAGTTTCTTGGTCTTGTGAGATGAGCCCAGTGTGAATATTTCTGATAGTTGCAGATGATGAAACCATCTCTCTGAGTCACATTCACTGTACACTTATGGCATGTACCCCTCTTAGAAGGCCCAGAGTCCTTTCTGGGCTATGTAGATTTCTGACATGTTCAGTCCTTTCAAAAAGTACTATTGGACTCCTTTTCCTTAAAAAAAATAACCAGCTGCTAATTAATGATCCCCTTTTGAAAGAGTTTTAGACAGAAATTATCTAAGGTCAGCTGTTCTACAATTGAGATGGGAAGAGAACCTTATACCTAACGGTAGTTTACTCCCTAATTCATGTGCCTCTGACCTTATGTTTTCTTCTGAAAACTTTTTTGAGACTTTTGTCCTCATTCTGGCAAAACAACCAGGAAATCAAAGGCCCATAGAATACTGCTAACAAATATAATATCCCACTTTGGTCATTGATTTTTGTTTTTGTTTTTTAAATAAGTATTTTTGAGTGATTAGTAAGTAACTTAATTAAACTCTAATCACCCTACTGGCTTTATGTTCCTTCCCTTTGCACAGAGTTTGGGATAATCCTATCTAATAAAAAGGTAATATGCAAATTGACCATCACTCCAACACACAAGATGGCTGCCCCCATGTGGACACAAGATGGCCATCAGGGGAGGGCAATTGTGGGTGATCAGGCTAGAAGTGGAGAGAATTTGGGATAGACCAGGCCTAAAAGGGAGGGTAGTTGGGGGGGAGGGTGACCAGGCCTGCAGGGGAAAGCAGTTAGGTGTGACCAGGCCTGCAGGGGAAGACAGTTAGGAGCAAGCAGGCCTGCATGGGAAGGCAGTTAGGGGCCACTAGGCTAGCAGGGGAGGGCAGTTAGGGGCAATTGGGCCAGCAGGGGAGCAGTTAGGCATCGATCAGGCTGGCAAGGGATTGGTTGGGAACAATCAGATAGGCAAGCAGGCAAGCAGTTGGGAGCCAGCAGTCCTGGATTGTGAGAGGGATATCTGGTGGAATCGGGCCTAAATGGGCAGTCAGACATTCCTCAAGGGGTTCCAGATTGGAGAGAGTGCAGGCTGGGCTGAGAGATCTCCCCACTCCCTCCCCCACGCACGAATTTTGTGCACCAGGCTCCTAGTAATATATAAAATAGGACCAAGCTTTTAACATATTTGGTATTTTCCCTATAAACTTATGCTTTCTAGAGTATTATGATTCACTGGCAGCCACCTCCTCTAGCCACACAAAATGGGCAAATTACTGGCTACAAGATACGCTACAGAAAGGCCTCCCGAAAGAGTGATGTCACTGAGATGTTGGTGCCCGGGACCCAGCTGTCTCAGCTGATTGAAGGTGAGTTCCTATGGGCATTGCCAAAAGTTGGGAGATGTATCTATGCTAGTCTGATTAATGCCTGGAGCTGTTTTGCACAAAGTTAAAATGGTTCAAAAGGATTTGTAAAAATTTGATAAAAATTAATTGAAAACACTCTTACACGCTCTGCTATTTCTGAATGAGATTATATTTTAGTTTTATTTCCTTGTGTTTTTCTGTATTCTTTATGTTATATGTAGTTTTTTTTATAATCTGAAAAAAAGTTCAAACAAAGCTATATAAACAAAGAGTCTGCACAGTTTAGTTGTTAGCAAAGTGTACAGACAGTAAAAGTGTACTCTAGTAATCCAGCAAGCTTTTCTCCTTACCCCTCATCTCATAGATGAGACTGACTCCTTTCAAAATAGGAAAAGGTGAATGTTTGTCTCCATGGAGTCAGTCCTCTCCTTTCTGCAGAAAGTAAACATGGCTGCTGTGAGTGCTGCTGAGAAATCTCACTGAAGGAACATTACTGTAAAATTTCTCACAGATGTTTTTAAAAGTCAGTTTCTGGTTTTACTCCAAATATAGCTAAGTAACAGTTTCCATCTGTAAGGGTTTTACTTTGAATACTTAATAGCAGATATTTACTGTATACCAGGCATTGTTCTTGTTGCCAATAACATAAAAATAGAGTACAGTCCTTGCCCATGAGGGAACTATTCATTTTTTGTTTTCCAATTCAACATTTGATGTATAAGGAAAATAACATTTTCATGATAAACATCAATTTTTCTCTTTTTGTTGCTTTTTGTTAATCCTCGCTTAAGGATATTCTTCCATTGACTTTTAGAGACAGTGGAAGGGAGGGGGAGAGAAACATCGATGTCAGAAAGACACATCGATTTCTTGCTCCTGCACATGCCCCAACCAAGGCCTGGGATCAAACTACAACAAAGGAATGTGCCTTTGACTGGGATCAAACCTGGGACCTTTCAGACTGGGGGCTGATGTTTGAAACTTTGTAACCTTAAGCAGAGGCCAAGGCCAGCCAGGGTGTGTGGAAAGCTTTGGTTCCTCCATCGCCGGGAGCAACCCTAGTCTCCTGCTCTTTCCAGCTCTGTGGCTGCCACCATTTCTGTTTGGATTTATGTATCTTCTATATTGAAACTTTGTAGCCTTGAGTGGAGGCCTAGGCCAGCAAGGGCAGGCAGAAAGCTTGGCTTCCTCCATTGCCAGAGAAACCCAAGCCTCCCTCCTGCTCTCTGTGGCCATGGCCATCTTGGTTAGGTTTATTTGCATATTTGCTCCTGATTGGCTGGTGGGTGTGCCTTGTGGGTGTGGTGGTTAATTTGCATATTACTCTTTTATTAGATAAGATTTGTGTGCCTTAGTTTTAGTGTATGAATTCTGTTGGTTACTTTGTGGGAGAGGAACTCTTAACCATTTACATGTGGTTCTCCTTGCGTATGTTTTTATTCACTCTCGCTCACTTGCTAACTCACTCTCTTAACATTCTAACTCTCCCCAAAGGGAAAGGCATGGTAATCTGATCAGTTGAATTCTTTCAGAACCTCAATTGAGCCATGTTTCCTAGGAGACCAGATTGTGGTCTATTAATAGTTATAAGTAAGTATAACGTCACTCTGGCTCTTTCAGGTTCTTGAAGGCAAGGAGGTAAAGTGACTTGGGCACAGTCATTTTGCTTCTCATTCTGTTTTGCTTCTTGCTTTCTTGTGGGCAAATAAGATGATCTGCAGAGTACAGAACCTCCCATCTCCTCTCACACCCTGTGACAGGATTGATTAACTGAGCCAGGACTTATTCTGGCCAAGTTCTCTCTCAATTTCTGTATTGTGTTGCTGGCCAAAGATCCCAATATTTGGATATGGGGAGATAGGATAATTTTTCATAACCCTAGTAAGACCTATCACAATATCTACTATTTAAGTGCTCTACAAATGTATGCATGTGGACTGTATACTTGAAAATGGCTAAAATGGTAAATTTTATATGTATTTTAACACAAAAAAAAAGAAAAAGAACTCATGAATATCTGACCATATTGTTGACTCTTGCTCTACTTTGTAGGTTAGACTTTTACATGTGGATCTTTGATTCATTGGTAATTCAAGTACTTTATTAGGTTATATTAAATATAAAAGGTTACATAATAGAAAGACATTATTCCTTTTTTATTTATTATGGGTTGGTAAGCTCCTGAGAAATAGATTTCTAGGCTGTGTTAACATTTAAAGTTTTTTCTGTCATTATGGCGTGGCTAATAGAACAGGGGTAATGTGGTAGGAGTTACATCTTGCATTCTTTTCTGGTCTTTAGTGTCTTCTGAGACCAATGGACTTTGGTTACAACTTTCATGATCCTTGGCCTCTTTTTTGGCCTTAGCTTCCTTAGTAAAATGAAGGGATTGCATTAAATGATTTCTAAAATATTTTCAAGCTTCTTTTTAAAACACACACACACACACACACACACACACACACACACACACACACACACCCCTGTTGTCTCCTGAGAGTTTCACTGATTTCTCTTTCCTTCTTGGACTGTGTGGACTTCAGCCTCTACTTTAGAGGTGGGAGCTCCTCTGTTCTGTACTTACAGATTTCTTGTTTGGTATTAACTTTCACCAAAATTTTATCAAGGTAGTAGCTGTATATTGAGTTGGTGGATAAGATATTTGCTTTAATGAGATTGTTGGTATTTTGTTTTTCCAAATCTGTTGTTTCAACTTGTATTGTGTGTGTGTTTTTTTTCCATTTGGGTCTCAGGTCTGGATCGGGGGACTGAATATAATTTTCGAGTGGCTGCTCTAACAGTAAATGGCACAGGCCCGGCTACTGACTGGCTGTCTGCTGAAACTTTTGAAAGTGACTTAGATGGTAAGAACAATGGCACAGACAAGGTACTAATTATAGTCAAGTGAGCCTAGCTGGAAAGCCACAGATTTGGTGTATATATTGCTTTAATCTGTGAAGTTTAATATATACTACTGTCATTTCTGTAATGCAGCAAGTTTCATGGATCTCCCTCATTCCCCACATTTGTGGCTTTTAGATAACTGTGTCTTTAAGTAGAACCAAAACCAATAAAAAGGTACAGGTGCCTTAAGTCTGTTTTTACCAAGGCCATTAAATATGTAGATGATCTAAAATGGAAAGCTGAGCCACATGAATCATGCTTATGTTTCATTAGTCTCCCTTTTCACTTCGTTCTAGACATCTTACCCTTTTTCTCACCTGTTTATTCAATGACTAAGTCCATATAGGTGTGTGTATGTAAATTTATCAAATACAGGTGCTGTACTTGGAAGACAAAAGGAACCTGTTCTATTGTTTTACCCTTTTTTAAATTAAGATAGCAATTTATGCCTTGAAAAATACTCTAAATTCCCATCGCTTAAGCCTCTTGGTTTCCCACCATTTAAATCAGTTTGTAGTTCTATTCATATTTTCTGACTTATCATATTACTTAGGGGAGTAAATAATACTATTGCTGTAATGTGATTCTTGATTACCTGTTTACACCAGGCTTCTAATTAGTTGGTGTATCTGCCTAGTAAGTTTGGGAATCAGATGTGAGACCAAGAGGAATGGATAACCATTGAAAGTCAATTTATTTGTTTTTCTCTATTGGATAAAGGTTCTTGGATCACTTTATTTTCCCTTCCAAATTAATGTTGCAGTGTCTAGTATTTCAAGCTGCTGTTTGGGTTTTGTTTTCTTCGTAGAATGCAGTAAAACCACTGAACATATTTTATTGTATATACATATTCTCTCTGAATTCTTGGTCATAATGGAAAAACTTAGCCCCAAATAATTTAGCGGGCGATTGAACACCATTCCCCAAAGGTGGTGAAATATCCTAATGAAAGATGAACCACATCTTGCCTTTCTAATTTCCTTTCCAGAAACTCGTGTTCCTGAAGTACCTAGTTCACTTCATGTCCGCCCACTGGTTACTAGCATCGTAGTAAGTTGGACTCCTCCAGAGAACCAGAACATTGTGGTCCGAGGTTATGCCATTGGTTATGGCATTGGCAGCCCGCACGCGCAGACCATCAAAGTAGACTATAAACAGCGCTATTACACCATCGAAAATCTGGGTGTGTATGCTCAGCAAAGGAAGTAATTGTACTTGTGATTGCTTTTTTACTTTTTTATTGTGTAATTTATTTATTTTTTTTAAATATATTTTCTTGATTTTTACACAGAGAGGAATTGAGAGGGATAGAGAGTTAGAAATGTCGATGAGAGAGATACATCGACCAGCTGCCTCTTGCGCGCGCACACAAACACACACACACACACACACACACACACACACACCTGGGGATGTGCCCGCAACCAAGGTACCTGCCCTTGACCGGAATCGAACCCGGGACCTTTCAGTTCGCAGAAGATGCTCTACCACTGAGCCAAACTGGTTTTGGCTATATTTATTAGCATTCTTTAATAAGGAAAATATTTCCTCCTCTTTCATAGTAAAATAATAGCCCGTGGGAATCTCCTTATAACTGGTTCCTCTGTCCATCTGACAAGGTTTTTCAGACCCTGGTATTTCCTAGCCTTAGCCCTTGAATTAGCCATTTCTCCAAAGAATCCTGTTTTCTTTTATGGGAAATGGTATTTAGAAACCAATATTTGAGCACTCTACTGATTCATAGAAAAGCTTGAGGAATATCCTGGCTACTAAAACTATAAGTGAGTTTGGCAAGTCACAAGGTACAAAGTTGGTCTAACAGTAAGCAGTTGGAAATTTAAATTTAAATTGCTTTCTCCCCAATGCAATTCTACATAAATCCCAATACACTTTTTGTAGAAATTGGTACACTTATTATTATAAAATTTATATGAAAAATCAGAATTACTAGAATGGTCAAACATGTTAGAAATATCTATGTATTGATTGTGATAGTGATTATACATCTTATATAAAAAAAAAAGCGTAATACTAATTAGACTGGACAACCTTCCAGACAAAGCCAGGGCTGAGAGGGCCTAGGCAGAGGCAGCTGCCTCCATGGCAGGGGCCAAGGCAGAGGTGGCCGCCACAGTGGTGGGGGCCAAGCCCTTTGCATGAATTTTGTGCACCCAGCCTCTAGTCAAAACTCAACAAACTGTATACTTAAAGGGTACATTTTACTGTCTGTTAATTACACCTCAAAGTTGATTTACAAAGCAAGAAAATAAAAAATAACAATATTTTATAATAGAAAGTAACTTGATTTTGGTAGGTGTTATTACTCTTCCAAATTGGATTATCATTGTACAGATCTTTGACACACTTCCCTTTTCATTCAGTATCTGCCCTGACCAATGTTTTAACTCAAGTCATATCTTTGTAAATATCTTTCATAAAACAACATGAAGTGTCTAACAGATGACTTACCTTCATCTTTTCTGGTAGAGAATAAGCAACAATTTGATGCTTTATTCAAAACAAAGTCGCCTTTTTTTTCCTTTGAAGAACAACACAGCTAACCTAGGATGTGTTTCCCATATGACAAGTCTTATAAGGCAGTTGTAAGAGAACAAAAGAAAAGCTCTGCTGATAAGGTGGTATCTCTGTGCTGACCCTCTGCCTACTGTTTTCTTTATGAAACTACTGAAAGAAAAGTCCTCTGCATTGTAAGCAGTTCATGGTCCTAGACCAGTAGTCGGCAAACCACGGCTTACAAGCTACATGTGGCTCTTTGGCCCCTTGAGTGTGGCTCTTCCACAAAATACCGCGTGTGGACGCGCACATACAGTGAGATTGAAACTTTGTGGCTCATGCGCAGAAGTAGGTTTTTGGCTCAAAAGAAATTTCAATCGTTGTACTGTTGATATTTGGCTTTGTTGACTGATGAGTTTGACGACCATTGTCCTAGACCTTCAGGAGCTTTCAGTCTAATAGGAAAACAAAAGTACCACCCAAGAAACAATGGAATGAAGTGAAGTATGGTGGGAGAAGGCAGCACTAGTAAGGCACAGCAGAGCAGTCAGGGAAAAAGCTTAACTTGAACTTGAAAAACAGAGCAGTGTTTGAAAATGAAATGAGAAGATGTACTCCATGTGCTGAAGAGAGTGAACAGACTTCATTAGAAAAGAAAGTACACATGACAAGTAGCAAAAAAATTTAATTTGGCATAAAGTAAAATGAGCTTGAGCTGTATAAGTAAACACTGATAGATCTAAGATGCATATAATGTTGATCAAAAAGTCAGAATGAAGTACATTTAGGAATTCATTTATTAAGCAAACTAGAGCTCTCTCTTCAGTTTCAAGTTCATATAAACATCTCCATACTGGGTGTCTGCACTGGGATATAGCCCTTACTGTATCATATCATTAATTAGAGTTAGTATCCTTTCCCACAAATCTTCCGATCAGTCAGCAAATATTTAATGAACTCCTACAATATCCCAGACACTGTGTTAAAGATTGAGCAGAGAATCAACCGAATTATTAGAAATATAATTTTGAATAATGAAAATTGTTAGATTGCTAAGGAAGAGAAATGTGTCAACTAGAGAGGCTAATCCAGTTTTAAAGGGATGAGTCTTTTTAGATGAGTAGGCATTGTCTAGGTAAAGAAGAAAGTTGGCCTGTGTCCCTAGCATAGAGAACAGCTGCACATGTTAAGGCCCATTGTTAGGCATATAGTGCTCAGTGAACTGAGAGATGGAGCATGCAGATCAAGGCAGTGGGTATAATCAATAAGACTTGATTGTAGTATTTGATTATTTGCATATCAGGGAAGGGGGGAGAGAGAGGTCTTAATAACTCCCAGGTTTCTGACTTGAGCAACAGGGAGCATAGAAGTGCTATTTATGAACTAGGAAACACGTGGGTTGATCTGAAGTGGGGAGAGAGAGATTTGAGGCATCTAACTGGAGATGTCAGAAGGTTTAACCTTAAGGTTTGATGATCAGAAGAAAGGTCTGGCCTAGAAATGTGATTTTTCATTGATGGCACATACATGCTAACCCAAGCTAAGGAAATGAGAGTGAAAATACATAGGGAAGAGTGGGAATAGAATGTGGGCTTGAAAATGTCTACTATGGTTACTCTGCCTCTGTCCCCAATCTCTGTGAAGGACTTTATCATCTACCATGTTACCCAAACTATCATCTTTTTCTTTTTCTCACCAATCAAGTACTGAGTCCTGTTGATTCCATTTGTTGTCAATTCTTTCTGCCATTGGGAGACCAAGTGCCTTTACTAGTATCTAAAGAATGGGCCACTAGCAACGCAGCTATTTTTTTTTTTTTTTTTTATTGATTGGGGTGGGATGACATTGGTCAGCATGAACACATAGGTTTCTCATGTGGGTTTCTGTGTTATATTGCACTGTGTGCTCACCACCCAAAGTCAAGTATTCTCCTGTCACCTTATATTAGGACCCCTTTTCCCCTTCCCTCTGGCAACCACCACACTGCTGTTCGTGTTCATGAGTTTCAGTTTTATATCCCACATATGAGTGAAATCATATGGTTCTTACCTTTTTCTGACTGACTTATTTCACTTAGCATAATGTTCTCAAGGTCCATCCATGTTGTTGCAAATGATGCTATTTTATTCAAAGTGCCCTATGATAGAGGACTGGATAAAGAATGTGATACATATCCAATATAATAGAAGGCAGTATGCAAATTGTTCCCTAAATCAGTAGTTCAACCATCAGGCAGGCCAGCCAATCGCCCATGTCCCCTTCCCCAGCCAGGCTGGCCAGATCCTACCCATCCACGAATTCATGCATTGGGATATATATATATATATATATATATATATCTTACATAATAAAAGAGTAATATGCAAATTAACCATCACTCTGCTACACCGCAAGCCATGCCCACCAACCAATCAGAGTGAGTATGCAAATTAATCCCAACCAAGATGGCTGCCACCACAGAGAGCAGGAGGGAGGCTTGGGTTTCTCTGGCTATGGATGGAAGCCAAGCTTTCCACACACCCTGGCCAGCCCAGGCCTCCACTCAAGGATACAAAGTTTTAATTATAGAAGATAAATCCCAAGAAAAATGGCAGCAGCCAGGGAGCTGGAGAGAGCAGGCTAGTGTTGCCTCTGGCGTCGGAGGAAGCCAAGCTTTCCACCTACCCTGGCTGGCCTAGACCTCCATGCTAGGTTACAAAGTTTCAATTATAGAAGGTGAATAAACCCCAACAGAAATGGCTGCTGCCATGGACCGAGCAGAAGGTTAGTTTTGCTCCACACTACAAAGTGTCAATTGGAGAACGTAAAAAAATCCCAGATACCAGGGCCTCTGCTTGGGTCGCCGGGAGGGCATGGTTGGCCTGCAAACCACCACAGGCCCTTTGCCCAGGTCACCCCATGCCAAGGGAACTCCCACCCTGATTTGGGACACCCTTCAGGGCAAATCAGCTGGCCCCCACCCATGCACCAGGCCTCTATCCTATCTAATAAAAGTAATATGCAGATTGATCATCACTCCAACACACAAGATCAAGATAGCTTCCCCCGTGTGGTCAAAGATCCTGCCCCATGTGGACACAGGATGGCCACCACATGATGTCCAACAGGGGAGGGTAGTTGGGGGGACCAGGCCTGCAAGGGCGGGCAGTTGGAGGTGATCAACCCTGCAGGGGAAGGCAGTTAGGGTTAACCAGACTGGCAGAGGAGGGAAGTTGGGGGCAAATAGGCTGGCGGAGGGGGGGGGGGGGCAGTTAGACAGCAATCAGGCTAGTAGGGCAGTGATTAGTGGGTGATCAGGCAGACAGAAGTGTTTAGGGGGTCATCAGGCAGGCAGGCAGAAGTGGTTAGGAGGTGATCAGGCTGGCAGACAGAAGTGGTTAAGGGCTGATCACGCTGGCAGGCAGAAGTGGTTAGGGTCTGATCAGGAAAGCAGGCAGGTGAGCAGTTGGGAGCCAGCATTCCTGGATTGTAGAGGGATGTCCCAGATTGGAGAGTGTGCAGGCTGGGCTGAAGGAACCACACCCCACCCTCCTGTGCATGAATTTTGTGCACCAGGCCTCTGGTATGTAATGAAATACTACTCAGCCATAAGAAAGGATAAAATAGTAAACCAGCTGTTTCAAGCTTTTTAAGTAATGCAGATTACTTGAAGTGTGGCCACTTTGGAAAACTGCCCAACTTTGCTACAAGTGAGTGATATGGGTCAGCTTCTCACCCTGCAACACTTAAGTGGGGCTCACCTTTTCACTTATTTATTTTCATTCTTCACCCGAGGATATTTTCTCATTGATTTTTAGAGAGAGAGAAAGGAAGAGGGCGGGGGGAGTGAGAGAGACATCGATATGAGAGAGAAACATGGGTTGATTGCCTCCCACAGGTGATCCCACTGAGGCCTGGGATCAAACCTGCAATCCAAATACTTGCCCTTTGGTACACACGCTGATGCCCTAACCCACATGTGTCAAACACAAGGCCCACGGGCCAAATCCGTCCCGCCAGGCCTTGCAATGTGGCCCACACCGCGCTGTCATCACTGCACTCTGCTGCGTTTCCATCACAATGACAGTTTATGACTGTTCAGTAAACCATTCGGCCCGCGATTTAGGCTGGATTTTAGATTTTGGCCCCTTCTCTGATTGAGTTCGACACCCCTACCCTAACCACTAAGTAACAGGCCAGGGCTCAAGTTTTCATTTCTGACTAGGTTTTTGAAGTTACTAGTCCTAAATTTTCCTAGATCAGGAATGTTATGAAGTAGAGTCATCTTAATTTACCTCATCAAATAGGAAAATGAATGCTATTCCAACTATTTAATTCCCACTCTTCATAGAGTCTTAACTGGCAGTATTTTGTATGATCCACCTGGAGGAAGTGTTTCTTTTAGTCTCATTTCCTGCAGCATCATCTCCAAGCCAGTCATAATCCTGGGCCATATCTTATTCTGCCAAGAAGTCTACATGAAGGCTAGATGAAATTAGGCACTTCCCAGATTTGGAGTCCCCGCCCCCGCACCTTAAAAGTTAAAGACATTCAGCAGTTTCTGAATTAACGGTTTTTCTCCTAGTTCTCTACCTTGCCTATTGTAGTTGCTGTCCTCTTTCTGAGAAAGAAAGGGGTTTGTTTAATTTCAAATGAAATACATACTCATTCTAATCCAAGCCCCACACTATATAATAACATCACTAAACCATCTATTAGTTGAGGCCAAGAGAGAATTCAGGCACAGCTACATGCACTCCTGGTACTAACTTGAGAGAATTTACGCACAGCCAACCTCACTTCTGGTAATAACTCCAGACAGTTTTTCTACCATGCAACGTGAATAAGTTTCCCCTTATCCACTGTTTCAGTTTCTGTGGTTTTATCCACAGACAACTAATGCCTAAAAATACTAAATGAAGAATTCCAGAAATAAACAATTTATTATCAGTTTTAAATTGCACATCATTTTTACTAGTGTGATGAAATCTCAAGCCATCCCATTCTGTCTCCCCCCGGGATATAACCATACTGAGTATGCTACCTGCTTGTTAGTCACTTAGCCAACTCAGTTATCAGATTTTTATCAGAGACAGAGAGGTATCACATTTACATAACATTTATTACAGTACATTGTTACAATTCTATTGTTGTTGTTAATCTCTTATAATGCCTAATTTATAAATTAATTTTTTAAAATATATTTTATTGATTTTCTATAGAGAGGAAGGGAGAGGAATAGAGAGTTAGAAACATCGATGAGAGAGAAACATCTACCAGCTGCCTCCTACACAGCCCCCACAGGAGATGTGCTCGCAACCAAGGTACATGCCCTTGACCGGAATCAAACCTGGGACCTTTTAGTCACAGGCCGATGCTCTATCCACTGAGCCAAACTGGTTTTGGTTATAAATTAAATTTTATCATAAGTATGTATGCATAGGGAAAAACATAGAATATATAGGGTTTGATACTACTTTCAGACATCCACTGGAGGTCTTAAAACGTGTCTCCTATGGGGACTATAGTACTGTTTATAGAGCTATCTCACACCCCAAAATATTAGTAGTCTCACATAAAAATTTCTTAAATCTTCCCTCCTGGTTTCCTCTGCAATTAAGATCATGTACAGTCACCCGTGAACTTTTAAAAATCTGTAGTGAGAATTTTTTAAGTGTTTTAACTCGTTTCTTTTCTTCAGATCCCAGTTCTCATTATGTGATTACCTTGAAAGCATTTAACAATGTGGGTGAAGGCATCCCTCTATATGAGAGTGCTGTGACCAGACATCATACAGGTAAGGTATCCTGTCCATCCCTGGTCTTTGGCTTTTTTTCCATCAGCTTAAGTAGAATCATGGTATGAAGCCTAACCCTAGGTATCAGTGGAAGGAAAAGAATATGGCAATTTAGGGTGCAGACTTCAAATAGAATATGGGCTTTTAATATGGAACATTCTGTAATTCCTGTTTTACCTTTTAGACACTATTAACAATCCTGTCATGTAAATAATTCTATGTAGATATCTAAAAGATGTTCTTGATGTGTTAGGATCTTGAAAGCATAATTGTGAGAGAATTCAAAGTGATTTTTCATCTTTAAGTTATGTGACATAACAAAAATGAGAAAAAAGACAAAAATATCTCCATATCTCTAGAGGAATGATGGTAGCAATAAATGTATACAATTAATAAATCCAACATTTTCTTTATTAGATACCCAAGTTGGTTGGGGAAGTATTTTTGTATGTGCTTTTCATAAGCTTTATATAAAGAGTATGAAGTCAGATGTACTATCCATTTGATCAACTATATATTTATTACTAAAGAGACCAAATATTCATTTTTGTAATTTATTTAAAATATCTTTAAAGGATTATCCCTATAATGTGAAGTTTTTATAGTTATATAAAACATCTAATTTATATCTGAATGAGAAAGTTTACCAAAGTAATACATTAAAATTGTAAATTTTTCTAATGGGTACTGAAAAATCAAAGAATTTGTCACTTTCAGAAGTACTCTTTTTCATTTGTTTCTCAGAATTGTAACTCTATTTTGCCTGCTATGTCTTCTGGATATTTTGTATAATATTACAAATGTGGCATTATTCTTCTTAAAAAGTCCATCTCTGTCCCACTTTTTTTGTGCTTTTACATAAAATGACCAACATCATGACTATTTGGATGGTCATCTATCCTGTTTTCTGTCCTGTGCACTTATAATTTATAACTTGTTTAAAAATAACTTTTCATAAAGAGTAAAAAGCAAGATTAAAAAAGATATGGAAACTATTACTTTAGCTTGGCAATTATTTATAAACAAGGCCCAGGCCTTTTCAAATTTTGAGTTAATAGAAAAAGTTAATCACGATAACCATGTGGGAAGCCCATTTTAAAACCTTAACTTAAAAAAATCAGTGTGTGTATACTTAGGACACCTGATCGAAGAGTTGGAAAAATCCAAACAGATCCTGCTGTATTGACTGGGGCTTGTGTAACTCGATGCCTTTGTGCCTTTGTGGCCTCTGTTTTTATTTATTTGTTTGTTTGTTTGTTTATTAAATTAATTGGGGTGATATTGGTCAAAATGAACATAGAGGTTTTATGTATGGATTTTTATTTTATAAGATCTTATATTGCGTCGTGTACCCAACACCCAGAAGCAAATCTGTCAGCATATATTAAGATCTTCTTTTCCCCCCCCAACTTCCTTCCTCTGGCAACCACCACACTGCTGTTGGTGTTCATAAGTGTTAGTTTTATATCCTACATATGAGTGAAATCATATGGTTCTTAGCTTTTTTTGAGTGACTTGTTTTACTTAGCATATGTTCTCAAGGTCCATCCATGTTGTTGCAAATGGTGCTATTTCATTTTTTTTTATGTCTGAGTAGTATTTCATAGTGCATATGTACCACAACTTCTTTATCCAGTCCTCTATTTCAGGGCACATTGGTTGTTTCCATGTCTTGGCCACCATGAATAATGCTGCAATGAACATAGGGATGCAGATATCTTTGCAAATACATGATTTACAGTTTTTTGGGTATATACCCAGGGTTTTCCTTTATAGGTCACTTCCTTCTTTTCCTTAGCTGCTTTGAAGATTTTTTTCTTTGTCACTAATTTGTGTGTGTGTGTGTGGGGGGGGGGGGGGGGTTATTGTCTAAAGTTTTACATATGTCTCCTTTTTCCCCAATTGACCTTCCATCCCAGCCATTCCCACCCTGAGCAACCCCCCACCATCCCAATGTCTATGTCCATTGGTTATGGTAATATGCATGCATACACATTCTTTGGTTGCTCTCTAATTCCCCTCCCCCCCTGCCATTTGTCTCTAGATTGATCTATTCTTGTTAATCAAATTATGTTGATCATTATATTGCACATATGAGTGAGATCATGTGATATTTATATTTCTCTGACTGGCTTATTTCACTTAGCATAATGTTCTCCAATTCCATCCATGTAGTTGCAAATATTAAAAGTTTCTTCCTTTTTACAGCAACATAGTATTCCATTTTGTAACTGTACCAAAGTTTTTTAATCCACTCATCTGCTGATGGGCACTTAGGCTGTTTCCAAATCTTACCTATTGTAAATTGTGCTGCTATGAACATAGGGGTGTATATATCCTTTCTGATTGGTGTTTCTGGTTTCTTGGAGTATAGTCCTAGGAGTGGGATTATTGGGCCAAATGGGAGTTCCATTTTTAACTTTTTGAGGAACTCTATATTGTCTTCCACAGTGGCTGCACCAATCTGCACTCCCACTAGCAGTGCAGGAGGGTTCCTTTTTCTCCACATGCTTGCCAGGACTTATAGTTTGTTGATTTGATTATAGCCATTATGACAGGTGTGAGATGGTATCTCTGTTGATTTGCATCTCTCAGATGATTAGTGACTTTGAGCATGTTATGTCTCTCGGCCTTCTCTATGTCCTCTTTCAAAAAGTGTCTATTTACATCCTTTGCCTATGTTTTGACTGAATTATTTATCTTCCTTATGTTAAATTGCATGAGTTATCTGTAAATTTTGGAGATTAAGCACTTATCGGAAATATCATTGGCAAATAGGTTCTCCCATGCAGTGGGCTTTCTTGTTGTTTTGTTGATGGTTTCTTTTGCTGTGCAGAAGCTTTTGATTTTGATTTAATCCCATTTGTACATTTTCTCCTTAGTCTCTATTGCCTTAGGAGCTGTGTGTGTAAAGATATTGCTACAACATGTGTCAGCTATTTTGCTGCCTATGTAGTCTTATAGGATTTTTATGGTTTTCTATTTTATGTTCAAGTCATTTATCCATTTTTAGTTTGTTTTTGTGTATGGTATAAGTTGGTGATCTAGTTTCTTTCTTTCTTTCTTTCTTTCTTTCTTTCTTTCTTTCTTTTTTTTTTTTTTTTTATTTTTTTTTTTTTGCATGTATCTGTTCAAATTTTCCAGCACTACTTATTAAAGAGACTGTTTTGACTGCCTTTTATGCTCTTGCCTCCTTTGTCAAATATTACTTGAGCATAATGGCTTGGGTCAATTTCTGGGTCCTCTGTTCTTTTCCATTGGTTTATCTGTCTTTTCTTGTGCCAGTAACAGGCAGTTTTTAGAAATGTGGCTTGATATCTGGTATGGTGATCCCTCCGACTTTGTTGTTCTTCTCAGGATTGCTGTGGCTATTCAAGATCTTTTTTTAATCCAGATGAATTTTTGGAGAATTTGTTCTAGATCTTTGAAAGGTGCCATTGGTATCTTAATAGGGATTGATTGAATCTGTAGATTGCTTTGGGTAGTATGGACATTTCAGTGATGTTCATTCTACCAATCCTTGAACATGGTATGTTCTTCCATTTATTTATGTCTTCTACATTCTTTTTTCAATGTCCTGAAGTTTTCTGAGTACAGGTCTTTTACATTTTTTGTTAAGTTTATTACTAGGTATCTTAATTTTTTTGGTGCAATGGTAAATGAAATTGGGGTGTTTTGTTGTTTTTGTTTGTTTGTTTCTGTGAGTTTATTGTTGGTATATAAAAAGACCATGTATTTCTGGGTGCTAATTTTGTATCCTGCTACATTGCCAAATTAATTTATTAGATCTAGTAGTTTTTTATGGAGTCTGGTGTTCTCTATGTCTAGTATAATGTCATCTGTGAAAAAGAGTTTTATTTCTTCTTTTCCAATTTGGATGCCATTTATTTCTTGTCTGATCGCTATGGCTAGCATTTCCAGTACTATATCGAACAGGAGTGGTGATAGTGGGCATCCCTGTCTTGTTCCCATTCTTAGGGGAAATGAGTTTAGTTTTTGCCCATTGAGTATGATGTTGGCTGTAGGTTTCTCATATAAGGCTTTTATTATGTTGATGTATTATCCCTCTATTCCCACTTTGCTAAGAGTTTTTATATCAAGAAAGAGTGTTGGATTTTGTCAAATGCTTTTTCTGCATCAATTGATATGATTATATGATTTTTGTCACTTAGTTTATGTGATGTATCACATTTATTGATTTGCAGATACTATACCATCCTTGAATCCCCAGAATAAATTCAACTTTGTTATTGTGTATATTCAATAAATAAACAAAATACAAATGATTATTAAAATACAAATAATTCTTTGAAAGATTTTGTTTATTTAGGTCCTCTCTGTTTCTTGCTGAGTCTGGCTATAGGTTCATCAGTTTTGTTTATCCTTTAAAAACTAGCTTATGGTTTTGTTGATCTTTCTAATGTAATGCTGAATCTATTTGCTTGAATTTTGTTGGAGGTGTTACCATCTATGTTCATCAAAGATATTAGCCTGTAGTTCTCTTTTTTTGTGGTGTCTTTATCTGGTTTTGGGATTAGGATAATGTTGATTTCATAGAAAGAGCTTGGAAGCATGCCTTCCTCTTGAATTTTTTGGAACAGTCTGATGAGGATAGGTTTTAGTTTTTTGAATGCTTGGTAGAACTCCCCTGTAAAGTTGTCCGGACCAGGGCTTTTGTTGGTGGGAAGATTTTTGATCACTGCTTCAATTTCTTCTGTAGTTATTGGTCTATTCAATTTTTTTTAATTATTCCTCATTGAGTTTGGGGAACTTGTGTTTTTCTAAGAATATGTCCATTTCATCTAGGTGGTCCATTTTGTTGGAGTAGAGTAGTTAATAGTATTGTTTTAATAATCATTGGTATTTCTGTAGGATCGGTTGTTACTTCACCTCTTTCATTTCTGATTTTGTTTATTTAGGTCCTCTTTCTTTGCTTCCTGGTGAGTCTGGCTGGAGGTTCATCAGTCTTGTTTATTCTTTCAAAGAATTAGCTCTTGGTT